CTTGCACGCTTAGGCGCCTGAACACTATTTATGTATTATGTTTATACATTTTGAATGTTATACTATAATTAAATATATATATATATATTACCAGGCTACTGTATAAACATATACTTTCTAATATAATTATTATGAATTTTTAAATTTACTTATTTATGTATATTATATAATGTGTAATATGTAAAATTGTATATATTATAATATAATAATATACTAATATGTGTTATTTAATAAAACTAGATATCTTATTATTATTTTATTGGGCAAAAGTATTTATTTTTTGTAATAAAATACATTAAAATGATAATATTTATTTCTAATAATTTGTGCCTGTTTTTATGTGCATGTTCAATTAATTCATTAAAATTAAATTTCATAATATAAGTAATAAAAATATACATTTGTAAATAAAAATAGTAAAATACGCAATGTACTATTACTTTTTTCACTATTTTACTAAAAAATGAACGTAGTAATTAGGTACTTATTAAACTAGTTTTACTTCAAGTTACTTTAAACTTCATCAACTCTATCAACTAATCGTCAAATAGTAAAATATATCTCATTAATATTCTCTCTGTTTTTAGCCATGGCTAATGAGAATATCAAAGAACTTTTGAAAGCCTTTTACTTCATTAAATTAAGTTCTTAATTATATGTTAACACCTACTTATAGTTCTATTTTTGTGCCTTTCAACATAATATTTAAATTTCTCAGAAATATATATGATTCATTGCCATTGTACCCATAATTTACTATATAGATTATATATATTKCAATCAAATTTAGCAAGTAAAACTATCCTATTTTGGCCTTATATTTTGTTTTGAGTCCTATATGTGTTTACWTGCTTGAAATGACTTAGACAGAATTTTCGTAATGTAATGTGTTTCAATAATCAAATCTAACGTTGTTTGACATCATTATATTTAAATGTATAGATACACTGTGCTCATGTGTATGTATTTTTAAACTAATCGTTGTTGAATATTTTTAGTTTTAAAATGTATTATTATAAGTATTTATTGTGCTGGTTGTTTTTATTGTTGGTTTTTGGATAAAATATAATATATTCTACACCTAAATATGAGAAATTGAAAAATCTCATTCCTTCGGGCCTACAGAAAAATTTGTTAATCTGCCATCTCCATAGATCTTTTAAATTATGGAATACAATTGTGAAATTATTTAAGAAATTAATAATATTATTCTTTATTTCTACAATCGTTATGTATTTCATTTGTAAATATTACGATACCTCTTATTACTCGTTGTACAGTCGAGTTGAGGACGGGAATACGGTCTGTCCATCTGTGTAAAACAATTATTTCTCTGAGAATTTTTCTGGGAATCATGAATTTAACCATAACATTTATTTTTCGAGAGTGATCTAATAAAGAGGTAGAAATATTTGCTCATCGCAATCCTCAGAATCGATGAACATTTTCAGTTGATAACACGTGTTCTGTTATTTAATTATTTCATAACAGTTAGTGTATTTCCTACAACAGGACACTCTGAACAATGATGGAAATTCCGGGTACAATCAACCGCAGTCCCCAGGTTTACAATCCTCTGGAAAATCCTGGTGGGAATTACCCACCACCGCCACGTCACGACATCAGTCGACGTGCCATTTGTCTGCTACAGTTTTCGTCGTTTTCGATCAGTCGTGTTTCGTCTAGCCAAAAGTATCGATTGCGTTTATACATATATATTCTACCTATATTATTATTACGTATATAAACACTAGTAACAGTATAATATTACATTATTCTTATTCGTGGTCGAATGGGCCAGAGTAAATCATTATTTCGATTATTTTATTTTCGGTCTGTTCTATGTGCACCGTGTTTTTATTCGATGCAATTTGACAATTCGTACTCCGATACAATTTAACAATTATTTTTAGAAGCATAACACGTACATTATAACGATAATAAATTATTTAACTTCTTAGACACAGTATATTATATAAATGATCAATCAATTATCTCAGATATTTTCTATTTGATCATAACTATCAGATACATATATATATATATATACAGAAAAGTTTAGTTTTTATATACACAGAAAATCTCTTTACTGTATAGTCTGCCAGATATTCGTATTCCTCTCCAGCGATTATAATGCTATATATATACTATATAATATTCTACAAGAACGCTATAAAATATGTTCGTTGTTCGTACCTATACCTATGGCACACACATACACACGAAAAATCAACCGTGTAAATGATTATTTTCCACAACGATTACCTGMTGAAACGCATTTATACTCCACCGAAACGAATTTGCATTTGTATTTCTCTTTTAATATTATTTCTTTTTCTAATCGTATTACATCTAAGTACCTATTGCCTAGTATTCACGCATGACCTCTGCAAATATATTGTTTTATGCGTATTATTCGGTTTTTTATTACCATGACTAGGTTGACCTAGAATCTGCTCTCRCCTCTCTGGTTCTACGACAGTTCAAAACATTATTATGATTATAGTTTGACGAACACCTGCGATTCTGCAATTGTGTGCTCTACAAACATTGTAATTCGCAATGTAGTTGACGTTTTTTTATTATGCACGCAAGGCTGACCTATATTTTTCCACTCGTGCTGTGTCCAGAAAACATCAATTACAAAATGTTTTAATAGAACAATAGTACGTAGTATTAAAGGTAAATCCTAGTATACCTACTACATATTCCAGAAAATAAGGAAGGGTACCGTTGGTCTTTTTCTATCTCTGTTTCTCCCTCAATACATATATAAAATATATTATATGTATGCCCGTTTCTGCAGAGACTATATTTTCTTCGCTTTTTGTGAAAAAAAAAAATAATAACGTTTTGACGCCAACGACTTCTTCCTGACATGTTTTGTCAAACACCGAGTATTCCAAAATAAAACTCCCTCCACCAACCTCTCTACAAACGAATATTATTCATCGCATTTGTATGGATGTTGAACATTCTAAATTTTATCGCTCGCCTTTATTCGTGAAGAGTAATTTTTTCATGGAATATTCTATTGTGTTTATTAAATCATACATTATTATTTATTTAGAACTAATATTTAAAAAAATTACACAATTTAAATCCATCAACCTATAAAAAAATTACACAATTTAGTTTTTTATAAAAAATGATTGTTTCATTAATTTTACACTAACAAATTTAATTTCGGCTAGACATTATGATTTTAAAGGTTATCGATTTAAAATAATTTAAGAAAGAAAGTATACCAATAAGTATTACTTGTAATATTATGTATTATTGAACATTTGACTTTTTGCATAATACGTTCTCTTGCGAATTTTAAATTTATATTTTAATATTTATGAATTGAAAAATTACAATAGATGGTCTAGCCTGAAGCATTTATTCGTCCCTCAAATTTTCTATTGTGGTTTATTGTATTATTTAAATACAAATAGAAATAAATTTAATGCATACAGTTTAAATAAAGTTATTTTAAGACTTAAACTGCAGATACATTTATAATAAAACAATTCATTTGGATTTAGTTTATAAACGTTTATGTTAGTTTGTTTATTGTTATGCTAAATCTTATAAAGTCAAAGCGAACTTTTATTCATTTGTTGAATGAAATACTACAAAATACCAAATTATATTTTGATATGTCAAAGAATAATCTAAATTACATACATTTTGCAAAATGTCACAGAGTTAATATTTTTTAGAACTGTTAATATACAAATTAATATATATACAAGAATAAATACCGTTGTTAATCAGGTTAATGTAAAATGGGTTTTAATTTTTTCTGTGTTTGTTGAATGAATCTGGTTTGTTCTTTTTATTGTTATTGTTATTATTATTATTATTTAATTTTTCAATTTTTATTATAACACTTTGACTGTAACAAAACTGAAACAAAGATCTCCAAAAATAGTCGCTCCATACACAAACTCATTAGTCATTAATATAACTATACTATCTCCACTTCTCTATAAATAATTAACAAAAGCCAGAAGTTACTTTAATGGATGGCTGTCATTCTCATACAATTATTTTGTTCAATATTCATGTAAATAGAGTCACAACATTATATGCGGATTGATCATTGAAACGCAGTAGATTGTGTTAAACACATTTTTTGAAAAATAAATGCTTAACATTTTTAATATTTATTTCCAGAAACTATTTTCATTAATTTGAAGTACATTTCTATTGTACTTGGTATATGATTGTATTCGTAACATAACATATTCATTAGATTAGTCCTAATTAAAGTTCAAAGTTTTTATTTTAATAGAGCTGAAAAGAACAAAGACCACGTGTCTTGATTTTTTTTTATCTGAAATCGTTCGTTTTTTTGTACTTTCTGTTTTCTCTATGATAAACCATGAGTCTCGTTTGACCCATTTATATATATATATATATTTCAAGACTGTTCTTGATTTGTGTTATAGAAATTTTTAATAATTTAAATATTCTATCGACTGATTCATTCTTTAATCCACGGTAAAATATTCATGTAAATATCAATATTTTGTGTCAGTGAAAAAAATGTAAATGTAATCATTTTTTTCCATATGTTATGTATACCTTCTACTTATGTTTATTCACTTAGCCTAATTTTTTTATATAATTATACGAGAGAGTTGTAAAAAAATATATACGTAACGACTTTATAAATGTATTCACAGTTGTATTCATATTTGGATACGTTTTAAAAAGAAAAGATTCATTTTTTTTTCTTTTTAAGATATTTTATAATCCCCATCAGTAAATAACTTATAATACAGTTAGCACGATCGAGTTAGTTTTCAAACGAGATAAATGTTTATTTACGTAATATATATATATATAGGTAATAGGTACATTATATACTTTTGTCCTTTTGTTTAGTATTTATACGGTGTTTTTTAAAACAAAATTTTTTAATATGTTTAATTCATTGTTATATTTTTAAATAATGATCCTAATTTTTCTTAGTAAAACATCTAAATATTTATTTTTAAATTGTTTAGGTGCATTGGGTTCAACAACAACATGAAAAGAAGAGGCGAAAACGGGATTTTCCTGGGCCTAATTTACCTGCTACTGTATTTGCTGGTTCCACCGATTTTTTCCAGCAACAAACATCAGGTGGACCATTATCACCACTTACACAAGGACAAGCATTCAGACGTATTGGTAATTCTGTCCATAACGTATTTCCCGATCCACTTTTTAAAGAACAATGGTACCTGGTAAGTATTTTAATTTAAACGTAAATTAATATAAGTATAAGTTAATAATATAACAATTCATTAAATCTCAATATAATTTTAGTTTTATTAGTAAGCACTACTTTATACCAAGATTTTCTTTTAATTAATAGACGGACAAATAAATAAAAGTTAATAATTTATATTATTATGTGTTATAAATTTAAAATACTAAAAAATCGTAGCTAAACGTGTTTATTTAAGATTTTGCACTATACAGAGTTATTCACAACGAATAATGCACATGCTTCCTAGATAAAACTATCTTACCTCTTTTAGGTATATTATTTTAAATATATTGCCTGTCTACATAATATACTATAAAAGAGTTGAAAATAACAGTCACTGAAAACAGATATGCATGGAATGTATTTGAGTTTCGACTAGATATTGTTCATGTGATCAAGAGATACCACATAGAACATGTTAAGATATTATTGATTAAATTTGAAATGAATTTAAAAATAATCTTCTTTTATTAATTGTTCAAATGTTTGGCCCCTGATAAATGTTAATTTTCTTCTATAGTAAAACTAAAATACGATGATTCAAATTGGTGAATATTTCAAATACTTATACCTAGTATAGAGAAAAAATATTTTTTCAATAATAAAACGTGTGTAACATTTGATAAAAATAAATTTACCAGCTATTCTGTTGTCAAACAGCCGGATCATTATTTTTCAATAAACCACCCAAAAAAATAAAAATAAACWCAAGATAATAATTGAAAGACGCTAACAGAGGATCAATAGCTCAATAACAGGTTTAACATCCAATTGGTTAAAGTTCTCAAGGTAATTCGCCTAACCTATCTGTATCCGGTAAGTCGATAATAAGAGCTTACACTTGAATATATATATATATATATATATATTTATAAGCTATGGACACATAAGACTGAGGATGTTGATCACTGGTCTCATCAGTCATCTCGACAGAAGTTATATTATTCTTACTAATTTGAGTGATAAATCATTCCCTTCGAAAAACAATTTTTGTTAGTTTAATAATGTGTATATAGGATTTAAATATTTAATAAAAAGAATTAAATGTTTAAAATATTCACTAATAATTTAAGATATTATTATTTGTATATTGTAATAAGTACCATAACATATAACTTTAAGTTATTTACAGTTTTTTAATTGTAGGTGATCAAAGTTAATAACACCTATTAGTTATATAAGTTGAGTTTATATTTTGGTCAAGATAGATTATTTACATAATTTTTAATAAACTTTGTAATGAATAACTAACATTTAATAGACTTTTATGTGCACTAGGTTCTTAAAATCCGTCTGTTATTTTATTGAAATTGTGTTTCAATTATCACAATTAATTTAATATTAAATCAAAATAAAATATTAAATAAATTCGAAATAATTGTATGATATTTTATTTACACAATGTATTATATTATAAGTAATTATAAGTAATCATAATATTAATTAATTATAAAATATAAAATATTATAATATAATAATATTATAATATAATATAAATTATTATATTATAAGCCGAACTTAATCCACAATTTATTTATATTTTATATTTTAAATCAGCATATCATCCTCTAAAATACAATGTAATATTAATAAATACCTCCACATTTATTTCTACAAAATGGTATGGTAAATTGGTACTTAAAAAATGTATATTTTTTCAACATTTATTTATTCTAGAATTCATCATAAATTATTGCATTTATATTTTCCAAAACAATTTAAAATTTAATAATTGTTTTCGTTTAAAAATAATTAGTATTATAACTTAACATAGTTTGTTCATTAATTACAACATTATTTAATGAAAATAATAGTTGTTTTTGATTAAAATATGTCTTCTTACTCAGATATAGCGCAAACGTTTTGTCGAATAATTTGAAAAAACTCCATTAAAAGTTTGAAAAAGAAACTATTTTTACCGACTGTTTTTAGTACCGTGTTCCATATTTTTTATTACTTTTCTAAATTAATATCTGAGGATTCTTCCATTTAATTTCAAATAATTATATTATTATTTTTCTTTTTAACATTATCCTAAAATGACAAAAATCGAGTTACATATCCTACTCGAGAAAAATGCGTTTTTATGCTGCTTTCTTTTTGCAAAGTGTTGAAAGTTTGTACAGTTCCTTTTTTTGTATACATTATTCTGTAATTTTCTAATAAATTAAACTCCGTATAAAATAATTTATGTGATGAAAAATATAATGTTATTACGAGTTTGACCCAACCTAACTTAGTTAGCCACTATGTTAATTTGTATGTTAACTAAAAGCCTCATATGGGTGAGTATATACACCGTAGTCCATCAAATAGATTGGCCAAATTACATTTTTATTAATATTACCCATACAATTATTTGGTATCAATAATCTAAACTGTAATAACATATAAAGTTAAAGAATATTATATTATATGTACATCTCACTATATAGTTCGAACGTGCAAAAAAATATTAAGAATTACTTTAACTTTATATTATATATCTACATTTTATTGATAACTTCGCGTTGTCGAAAAATAGTTCGTATCCATCTTATTATTTCATCGAGCAAAAAAAAAATTGCTCATTTATAAAATATCATATTTACTATTATCATATCAATTTTTTCCGCTGAATAGACAAATTTCCATTACACATTTTTATATTACTCACAATATATATTGCTGTAAAATATCTTRAGTTTAATTGGAGGAAAATAATAATTTTAAAAAATTGTGAGTCATATTATTGTAACGCTGGTTTTTATCCTTATTTTTATWTACTCCTGACTTCTGAAGTTATGACGACTGTAATAGTCTGTACGTATACGTCATATGCATTAAAATTAAATTTACTCATTTTACTCATTTCAAAATTTTAGATAGGTAGGTACTTAAACTCGAGTATTACATATTATTAATATTTTTTTTTTTTTTTATTTCAGAATGGTGGTGCTCTGGATGGTTTCGACATGAATATGGGTCCAGCTTGGCAAAAAGGGTATACCGGAAAAAACGTGGTCGTCTCAATACTTGACGACGGTATACAGACCAATCATCCTGATTTGGCACACAATTACGTGAGCAAACACTATGATGATAATAATAATAATAATAATATTTATAATAGTAGTAACGCAAACCTACTACGTGTTCGTATTTTCCTTTTCCCTCTCATTTTAGTATTTTTTTCTTTTTCATCCCCCAACCAATCGAGTACTAAACATACCACGTTTTCCTATCCCCTAATGAGGGTGYGCATTTCGTTCCCCATCTGAATCAGTTGACGACGACGTGAAATCGTATTAGTATCAGATTTGCACCAGGCAAACAAATTGCTTTTCTCTCCACTTCCCACACCACTCGGCACCTAAACAGCCTGTCACACACCAAAACATCGAAAGTACGCATTGTAAACTGGGGTTTCAGCGTTTTCGGACCCATTTGAGGATTTCATATTCAGTGTTCGCAGAAAAATGCTGTAGTGCGCACCGCTTTTTGCGACAATGAGAAAAAATAAGACCCGGACGAGTGTGATGGGAAGTAGAATGGTAAGGAGAGGGAATGAAGTAAAAGGAAATGCGATTTGTAACTCGTGTATACCTCCCTTACGACTCCCTCCATCGCCACCACCACTACCACCACCGTCGCAACCACAGYCACATAATATAACCACTCGCCACCGATTCGATATCGCGTCCCCCTCCCTACCGAACAAACCGTGTCATGAATTTGTTGACTCAATAAAGTAGTCATGAACATTTTCGATGTGAGCATAAGTGTTTGGGGAATTAATACCGGGGCGTTATGCCATGGGTGTGGTATGGCTGTATCGATTGCTTTTAGTTGTTCATCGCAGTTGACATTGTTATCCGATTGTTATTTTTTTAGTACTATTCTTTCCGACATTASTTTTGTTATTGACTTGACTACTAAATTTTAATCGTTTCACATTTAAATGCATAAAGCAAATAAATAAACATAAGGAATAATTACATTCAAGTTAACACAATACTCAACGTTATAAGATATGACATTATTATAATTTAAAAGGTTCTTAATTGTATWTTTCTTAAATAATTGTTGTTATAATGTATTTAATTGTTATAAATGTCATCTCGCCATTATTCAGTATGCACGACACATAGTATGTACATGTACATAGTACAATACAAGTACGAGTATTTAGTGGATTTTAAACTTTTCGGGTACCTATACAAATTATGTATGTAGAGATTTAATGTAGGTACGTTATACAAAACTTGGGGTGAGCTTTCAAACAGTATTAGCGTAAGCCGTAAATAATAAATATTATGTACTRATCTAACTCTTTATGTTTTACTGAATATCAGAATATATTTTTATCTTATATTTATTAATTATCATAAGTACTTTAGAAATTGAATGTATTACGTACAAACTATTAAGTTAAAAAATTAAACATTTTCATCATTCAATATCCTAAATTAATTATATAAGCAATACTCAATAARCATTAAACTTTTATATGAATTAGCTATTTGTTATTAATTGTATAATTATTATTTACATTTAAAATAACAACTAATTTCGAGACTAATTTCAAAGTTTGACATATTCATTATTCAAAATAATAATTTATCAAACGTTTCATTTAACATAATATATCTTTACAGTACA